GGTTCTGTCCTGGTGTACCGGTTCACAAGGGAATCACCATTGTTCTTTCTTTGTTTAGGAGTTATTGGTTAGCTATTGTGTATTGTTTGGTCTTTTGTATTGGCTCTTGTGAACCGGTACACGAGGACAGAACCCACTTCGCAGGTACGCAGAAACATTCTTCCAGATCGAACTGTTTTGTTGACATGCTGAACTTCATTTATAGTGCAAAATTAGGAGCCATTGAAGCCACTAAATCGATTCCAAACTTGGTGGAAAACCAGCCAAAATACTGCTGAGGAATCCTTAATGTGACGTCATTTTTAAAGCCCGAGGAAAATTACGAGTAAACGCCATGTTTTTAGTCGGCCGGAAACGGTAGTTTCTAGTTCATTTATCCTCCATCTTGAATCACAAAATACTTTTCTCGAACTTTGTAACCTTGCCTTTAATAAAATTATTCAATTGCGTTACACAATCGTGCTGAAAATTTGCAAGTAAAATGATTGACGAATTTAGTCAATGTTGCTCGCGTTTTACCTAAGACGCAATCATATTCACCCAACCAGAACTAAGATATGAAGCGAGGGAAAAAGAGAAAAGAGTGCTTTCAACCTTGGAAATTCCCTATCCTCTTTTAAAAGAATGGCACGAAACTGTACAAGAAAATAACTTGTTGTTGCGTGACTATCCGAAGGAAGTTTTTTCGCATACATGAGCTCCCGTTCCAAACCGCTGACTGTCACGGATTTCTGGCCATGTGTATAGCTCTCCATAGCTGTGTATAGTCCTGTAAAGCTGTGTATAGCCGTGTCTAGCAGTGTATAGCTGTGTATAGCCTCATATAGCTGTGTATAGCTATGTATAGCCCAGTGTAGCTGTGTATAGCCCAGTGTAGCTGTGTATAGCCCTGTATAGCAGTGTACAGTTGTGTATAGCTGTGTAGAGCCCTGTATAGCTTTGTATAGCCCTGCATAACTGTGTATAGCCCTGTATAGCTGTGTATAGCCTTATATAGCTGTGTATAGCCCGGTATAGCTGTGTATAGCCCTTTATGTGTGTGTGCAGAATATCGTGTGCATGTATATAGCCCTGTATGTGTGCGTCTAGAATATTCTGCGCAATATTAGGACACCGTGTAAAGCCCTGTATAGGTTTATATAGCCCTGTATGTTGTATGTAATGTTAGGGTATTATAAAAATGTAAAGTATAGGACATAATATTTATTAGGGACATAATAATTCCCCCATACATGACCTACCTACGGTTACTCATAGGTAAAAGGGAGGGCTACACACCGGAAGTTGTTAGCAAGCAGTCAGGCATGAAGCTCGACCGAGTCCCCCGCATTACATTATAATCCAAAAAAAAAACTTTGGCGACGTGACTTCACGAAGATGAAGGGTTTAAAATAGTTTAGTCTTGTAAATAAGATAGACGATACATGACAGCTGAAATTAGATATGGAAGGAAGGTGCTCAGATGATGCTGGAGAAAAAGTCGTCGACGAAAAATCTCCCCTCCTTTCTGTCCAAGGCGACCAAGGCAATGGGATCAACGACAGGTCCAGTGCTTCAACTAGTTCAAGGTATGCACAGCATACCTTGAATTAAAAGGGCAAGATTTCCACATAACCCTATACATTAATTATGCACAGAGTGTAGCAAAGAAACCTTTCTATTAAGTATTTATGAAATGGACTGCATATTATTATATGGGGTTATATGGAAATCTTTCCTACGAAAGAAGTATGAATATGAATGAACCTTTTGCTGTTCATTACGAGATAATAAGCATTCATTTGCATTAAAAGGCGAACCATTGCGTGAAAATACAATCATTAAAGACAAAAAACCGTCATTTGCGCGTAAACAAGATTCAATAACGATTTTTGCATTTTAATCAGCATTCAATGACAATTTTGGCCATTCTTATGAGTGATTCGTCAAGCAAAAGAGAAAAATACACGCTCACTTGCAGTAACCTTCAAGTCATTTACACCTTCTTGAGAGTCAATAGAGACAATAAACAAACAGTATATATATCTTATTAACCAAGCGCGAGGGCCATACTGGGAGAATGTCGACCCAAGGTCTGACAGTACAGACCGAGTGCAGCGAGGTCCGTACAAAAAAGACCAAGGGCCAATATTCTTCCAGTATGGTCCCAAGCAAGCTTGGTTAATAAGAGATTTATTATACGACTGAAGTTCAAAGGGGGACACAAGTGCCGTATCATTCGGGACCATTTGGGACAGTGCCCGGTCCAATACTGAGAGAATATTGACCTGCAATAGAGCATTTTGATTGGTTGATTTTAGTTATTGGCCCTCTGACTGCCCGAGTTTTGTAATAAAGTGCATGTAGCATTCATTTACATTTTTATTACACTGTTTGCAATTCAATAGCATTCCTAGACAGCATTAGTAGGAATAAGACAATCATTTATGTGCTTGGCAAACAATTGAGCGTTTTTTGTTTTCAATATTCACACATCGAAGTTCAATTGAAGATACCTATTCCAAAATCATTTTGTTTTGAATTTCAGTTTACCCTTTCATTAATCTCTCTATTCAAACATTTTGGCAGATAGGGCTGCATAAAGCGGTAGCACTGCGCACTTTTAGCCACAGTCACAGTGTCGATGTTTCTGTGCAGAGCTTCGAGCAGTTGCTGTGTTCGAAACTCCCCCTCTGGGATTCCCCTGGCTCTAGCCTCATCTCTGTTATCCATGCGTCCTTGAATTTCCGAAAGTGAGATGTCAGCTTGATGCCTTTTTCAAACAGCTTATTGCCTGCTCCATGATGTTTAGGAAACAACTGTAGGGAGGAGGCATTTTAAGCTCTATGTTTGGGGCGGGAATGACCAGTTTCGGTGGGCCAGTGCTTCATCATACACAAGTATCACCTCCTCATCGGAATCTAGACTTGTCCTCACCTGTGCCAAGAAGTTATTGAAACACGCAGCATTCATTCCACCAACAGCTGCTGAAGAAAACATGAGTCCATTGATAGGTGGAATCGCCACGGTCACGGTCAAGTTTCATTCATGCCAGATGCACACTTGATGGTAAACCCTCTCTCACTGTTGTGCTTTACGGTGGCTTCTGGCCGTCCAGATGTTGCAGCTGCATTCGTCAACAAACACACAGTGGCGCATTACGGCATGGTTCCTAAACCAAGTGGCGTTATCTACTTGCTTGTTTAACACATCGTCTGTTTCTGTCAGCAGGAAGGGGCCTCACAAGTTTCACTCAGAAGAGCATACTGTCTAATGTCCTTGCCATGGTGCGGTCATGGATCTCAGGTTTGAGTGGTAGTTTATCCAAGCAAATGTTAGTATACAGTTTTCGTCGATGATTTCCTCTAGGCAATCTCTCAACTTATCATCCACGTGCACCTTGTTTCTACCTCCTCGTAATCTCTCCTGGATCCTGCTGTAGCATGCCACAATACCTCTTGCTGTTGATCGTTCACTCTGAGCGAGTCCGCAACCACAAGATAATTTTCCTCCTCATCCTCTAATCCTCTCACAATTCTCTCTCTGTGGTAGAGTAGTATTTAGTTTCTCCAAAGCGAATTAACCAGATGAACTCTACTGAATGTAAATTCATGCAAAGTCAGCATTCAGTTGAAAATCACTACTTGCATATTGAATATGAAAAACACTGAATTGTTTGTACAACTGCATTAATAATTGTCTTATTCATACTAATGCCATCCAGTAATGCTATTGAATTGCAAACAGTGTGATAAAAATGTTAAGGAATGGTTCATGCGCTATATTGTTTGTGTATTGTCTTTATTGACTTTCAAGATGGTGTAAATGACTTGAATGTTAACACAAATGAAAGTATCTTTTTCTCTTTTATTTGACAAATGACGCGTAAGATTGCCCAAAATTGTTATTGAATGCTGATTAAAATGCAAAAATCATTATTGAATCTTGTTTATGTGCAAATGACGGTTTTTTGTCTCTAATGATTGTATTTTCACACAATTGTTTGCCTTTTAACGCAAATGAATGCGTATTTTCTCGTAATGACCAGCAAAAGGTGTATTAGTCTCCTTTTTTATCGAAACTCATTTGTAGAACACAGCTCTCTTACTTGAAAACTTGAAAATGGAACGATTGTTTTGTAATTTTGGTTTTCATTGATGATATTGCAACAGTGATCAGCTGAATAATGTTAATCTAAATGTTAGATGCATCCTTGATATAAGTGTTCAACGTCCGTAATAAGATTATCAGTTGATTCTAGTGGATAAAGGGGGGTTAGCTGAACTTTGAGGTAGGGGTGATAAAATAGAGGAGGGGAAAAATATTTGTTACCTCTTTAAAAATATTACACACCTACTGAAACTGCACTTATGTGAAATCTGTGGCTGGGAATTGAAAACTGCGCGTCTTTCATATAAACATAATATTCTTGAATGCTGTTTAACTGACTGAGGTTGAAACTTAAGAAAATAAGAAACAGTTACAATAGTTACGCAATATACAACCTAAAGAAATAACAAACAACAAGACGGAAAGAGGACTATAAGATAGATACATTGTTACGGCCACAGAAACATTACTAGACTGCACTTAGTGACAACAAAAACACAGTAACTGTTATATTACATGATAAATTATGCAGGTAGCACAGAGCAACATAAGGGGGCAACGAATTTACAAATTAAAGTGCTGCCTAGTGAACTGAAAAGACTGAAATGAATGGACTCCAAACACACAAAGAAAACAACAACAACAACAACAACAAAAGTCGCACTTAGAAATGACATACCAGCCCCTTAGTGTGGAGTGCATGCAGGACACTTATGTTATAATTGGATTACTTTTAAGTGTCTCTTTTAAGAGTCCTCAATCAAATGCAATCGTGAGATAGACAAAAGCCATTTTGGTGGGAAAGCTCAAACCTTCAAAAGCAGGCAAAGCTTATCAAGTGGTCTCTCCACAACAGTTACCTTTCCTTTCACCTTGACACATCAAACCAAACCTTTCTTGTTGGGGAGAACTTCAACAACCCTACTAAGAGGTCACGTGTTGTGGGGTGAATTTTCTGTGCTGAAAAGGACAGTATCTCCAATGGATAGATTTCTGCAGGGCAAAGTCCATTTCTGTCTGCTCTGGAGCAATATTCTCTAGACCATTGTTTCCAAAAAATATTGGCAAGATATTGCACTTGTCTTCACCTGCATCACAACAGAGAATCCTCCTTTTGCAATAATCCAGGGGGTATCTGAGGTTCTGATTGCAAAAGAAGCAAAATAATGGTTAGGTGTTCAAGGCACTGGGTCTTGTGAATTGCTTGAAACTGTGGTGATCAGGAAGCCATTCAAGATACTTTCTACTTCACAGAAAAGACTGGCTAGGCTTTCATCATCGGTGGTCTGCGTTTGAAGCAATGCCTGAGGAATCTTGTGTGTAGTGTGAATACATCACTCCCAAACACCTCTGTAATGTGACCCATATAGGGGATTAAACATCCACTTGATATTCGTCTGTAATAGAGATTCGTGGATTTTGTTGTTGTTCACAATTTTAAATACTTTAAAATCCCGCTATTTCTTCCTTAGCTTATTGACTTTAAGACTATTTTAGGCTTCTTGTTTAGTAAAGTTTGGGGACATGTCAGTTTTTCAACATAAAGGTATGAATGTGGATGTTTTGGATTAATGTCAGTATGCCAGTTACTGCACACCACCCCTCCCCTCCCCTCCCCTAACCCAACAATAGTCAGGGGAGGGATGGGTGCACAATTGCTTAAATGCTGGCATTGATCAAATGTTTTTATATATATATATCTTTTTTTATTGCCTGTCTAGGGGCCAATATGATGGTAGTTCCACATATGACAGTTCACACATGAATAGTGAGTCAAACAACTTTGCAAAAAGGAAGCCCTTCCATTATAACACACTTAAAAATTCCATTGTTACACCTCATGATGTGGACATAGCTGCTAAGTTCAACCGCTACAGATACATATCCAGACTATCTAGACACAATGTGGTAAGGAGAGTGCAATGCTCATTTACTTACTAGTTTTTGTAACTGTACAATTGTAAAAATGAGTTTTCATTTTTGTTTAATTGGTATGGGTACAATGAATTTTTTTTTATTTTATTTACAGTATTTATAAAATTCTAATGGACACTTTAAGATTTTTTAGAGAGAATCTTTTATACAGCTTTTTTTCATTTTGGATGAGCAGGATCAGAAGAATGGAATGCAAAGTCACTCTGATCTGAAGTATCCCTTCTCTTCTAAAACATCCAAGAAATATTGTGCAAGAATGAAAGAATCCACCAATACAACTTGACCTTAATTCCCTATTGAAGGCTTTTTGTCACTCATATCTGGCCAATTTCTATCACTACTAATTTGTCTTTGTTCTCTTTTAGATTATTCCAAGACATATACTTCCACCTCATTTATTTCTTGTCATTCCAAAAGAATCAGATGAAAAACAAAGCAGTCTTGTCACAATGTAAGTAAAATTGTGATTAATAAGTATTTGATTTAGAATGTTAAATGCACTATATTATAAAGTTAACCTAAATCTGATATGTCACTCTGGATAAGCATGTGTGTACCTATCAAATGGTAAATCATTCTCATGATGATAATGTACCCCTCATAAGCCAGTTAATACTAGTGATCTGTAAGGGAGACTTGCCAAAAGTTTTGGAGGTGAGGTGGGGTTGCTGCAAAGGGCTGGCATGCTCTCCAAGACAACTGGCAGTTCTCTAGTTTGCTTTACTGCAGGGAACTGGGTAAGAGGGGCAGGTAGATTATATTTCCTTGTGTTCTTCAGCTTTTTCTCCATTAGCATTTAATTTGTTACTTCCACCAACATAAGCTAAGTGTTGACAACCTTTGAATGTTATCGTAATCTACTGATAACGGCACTGAATTCAATATATAATCACAGTTGCCAGGAAGGAATTGATCTGATTATCTTGATGGTGCTTTTTTTTTTTTTTGGAACTTTTTCCAGTTTTTCAATTTGGAACACCATGATGGGAACCTCACTGCTAAGTATACCATGGGCAATTGATCAGGTTTGTGAATCAATTAAAAGTAAAGAGTTGGTCTTAAGAGATCTTTCTATGTCAAAGACTGAGATAATGATTAGGTTTATCCGAAGTGGTCCTATACTATGTGACAATTTGTGCTTAAAGTTTTGTTTATAGACATGATTATCGAATGGCGTGACATAACGTTATGTCACGCCATGCAGCCACATGCTGACATCGGACACCGTTTGACGTATATGAACTTTGCACGTACGAGACATCGGGTCTTTGTTTTGCTAAGCATGTGCGGTTAGCCGTGTTTCTTTTATGTGCCAATAAAAGCTGTTTCAAAGCCAAAACCTCTGCGTCTTACATACTATAATCCTGATTAATAGAGGATTTTATATTCCAGTAGAATAGAATTTAAGACCAGGTTTAATTAGATCTATGTACACGTGTCTACAAACAAAATGAATAAAGAATATTAGCTAGTAAATACACTGTAAGTTAACAATGGATGTCTCGTAAATTTTAATTTTTTCTAGGCAGGTTTTGCTCTTGCTATTGTCCTGTTGGTTGTCATGGCAGGGCTTTGTCTTTATAGCTGTTACTTGATAATAAGATGTGCAGAAGAAACAGGTTGGTGAGGTTTTTTAAATTTGCACGATTGTTATGTTATTGATTATAATTTACAAAACTAAACTTGTTTATGCATAAGTAACTTTACTTGTGACGGATTGTAAATTTTGGTGATGTAAATTAATTATAGGCCTTAACTTTGCTCTTCATGAGACGTAGATCCTTGACTGCTCCAGATGGGCCCAGGCTCCTGGTTAATTGGTTTATTTTTCAATTTTCTGTTCCCATAGCAAGGCAAGGTGATGTCCTAGAATTTTCTGATATCTGTAAGAAATACCTTGGCAAGCCTGGAGAGTTTATTGCAATCCTGTTTTCTGTGGCTGCTAATGCTGGAGGTGCCATAGTCTTTTGGGTTCTAATGAGCAGTTTCCTGTACTATTCTGGAAAGTACATTCATGGTAGCTATCTTCTTTTGTATGAACTTGATTTAGATATGGTTTGGTCTTCAAGAAAGGGAAAAATTAATAATTGTAATACTATTATTGTCTGCATTAGCCCCCAGAAGGTATCTGCTGTATACCATTTTGTTTAAGTAACTATATGAGAACACCAAATCAGGTCTGAATTTTCATTTATTAGAAGGGGGAGCGATCATAAACATTACTCTCCTTAGTCTAATCAGATCAATAGCTAGTGAGTAAAGCTTACATTTTTTTAATATTTCATCTTTTTTTTAATTTTTAATTATTTTTCAAGGCTTATGGAATCTCTTTGCCAAAGCAATCTTCTAATTTGTATTCTTATCCTGTTTTAACATTTCTTTTATTACTGCTCTCTACATTATGATATTTATTATTGAATATTTTATTATAACCATTAATAACAGAATTATTAAACAAAGTATTCATTTGTGTTACAGAGACTGTCCATCATGCCTATTCAGTTCCCACTTCCACAAATATTACAAATGGAAGCTTCCCAAGTCACTTAGAAGGTATTTTTAGTCAAAGAATAAATTCATCCAAGAGAGCTATTTGCTTTTTAATATTAGAAATATTCTAAATAAATGTGTGCTGTGAACACATTATTTATGACAAATTACTCCTTTTCAGATACCCATATTTTGGTGTTTCATCTTTTCAGGTTCAGCACCATCTTTTTGCAACAGCACATTTATATTTCTTCCATTTGGTAGAACAGTCTGTCTGACGCTTATTCATTTGTTCACCTATTCATTTATTCATTCCTCAATTTACACAATCATTCATTAACCCTTTTATCCATTTTTCATCCATTCTTATTTTTTTAATTTGTCCATTTGGAAATTGTATTTTTATGGTCAATTGCCTTGGTCATTGATTTCTTTGTTTCAATCTCTACTAAATTATAACTGAACAGCAGCCTGTATTTTAAGGCAAGTTGCAGATTTCTCTTTTGATTTCCTTCCAGTTCTTTGCCCTGGTGGCCACAGTGCATCAGCAAGTTCAGCAAACAGCTTAGTCGCAGCTGACAAAACAAACTTCTTCAAATTCTGGCAGCTCCAACACACTGTACCTTTCTTTTTAATTGCTGTCCTGTTTCCTTTGTGCAGTGTAAAGTCACCAACATTCTTCACTAAATTCAACTCTTTAGGTGAGTTCCCTGTTATAATAATAATTTAATATTTAATAATTTAATATTTATATTGCACAAATTAACATGTGGATATGATCAAATGTGTATTACAACACTTTTTGGGGGACTTTGGCCAGACTGCATCAGCAGTTTACAAACAATCAAAGGAAACTTATTTGAAGATGCCCCCTCCCCCCAATTCCCAGTAAACAGGCCAGACCACATCACAGTAATCTCGTGAGTGGGTTCTCTAACATCCCCTGCCTAACCAAATTAACTAATTAATAGATGCAGGAGACGGGACCTACGGTTTATTTGTCCTTATCTGAGAAGACTAGAATGTCTATCCATTTCTTATTAAAGAAAGTTAGCACATTCTCCTCAGTTATTTTAAGACCTTGAGTGTTGGTTCGGCCAGGGCTTGAACCATCAACCTCGACCTCCTGCACAACAGTCCAGTGCTCTAACCAATTGAGCTAACCGCTTATAAGGCTTAAAGTAATGGTTTATATATAAGTGAGGTTGTTCATAAACATTCTATTTATTATGTTTTAATTCATAACATGCAGGCACCTTATCAGTTGCCTATATCATTGTCTTTATCATTACCAAAGCCAGCATATGGGGAATTCACATGGATTTTAAACATAACAGCATACCAAGTAAGATGAAAGGGAACCTCTAATGGATACTTTAATTTGTGTTACAAGTTAGCCTTTTGTGCATCTTTCAAGGTGGATGTTTATTATTTATTTATTTATTTATTGAGTGGACAACTATACAAGTCATGTAGTTAAATGGAACTCTTGATGGCTAGGGAAAATTACTAATTTAACTAGAGCTGCATGGACAGCTTGTTTTGATGATTGTATGTTACAGGTGATATAGATTTATTTTTCATGGTTGTTACAGTGTTCAAGACTAGTTTTCCAGCTCTTACAGGAATACTTACTCTGGCTTACTTTATCCACAACTGCATTCTGTCAATAATGAGGAACCAGGCGAAACCCCAAAACAATGTAAGTAGTATTGTTGTTTGTATAAAAAGAACAAAAACATGCTGTTCATTGAATGAATGAATGAATGAATGAATGAATTCCTTATTTATATTGCACCCTTTCTATACAATATTCAAAGGCACAGTACCCCCCATCAATTTGATAGACACTACACAAAGATAGACCACAACACCAGGCACTACGTGCCCTACTCTTTTCGAACAGTGTGTGGGTTCTTTAACGTCCCACAATTTTTTTTTATCACATACAAGGCCTTGTGAGACGGACCTCCATTTATCATCCCTATCCGAGAAGACTAGAAAGTCTAACCATTTGCAGATATTATTACAAAGGCAACACTTTCTTCTCAGTTATTTAAAGACCCTGAGTGTTGGTCCGGCCAGATTTGAACTCACGACCTCCCGCACAACACTCCGGCGCTCTACCAATTGAGCTCACCGGGAGGCAGTTAGCTCAATTGCCAACCAATTTTGGAGGTCTTGAAAATTCTCACAAGGGTTATGGGTAATCCTACCCCAAGTTTCTGAATTTACAGTAAATAAATTATTCTTTCAGTTGAATTCCCCAGCAGCGAACTCAAACTTGATATTGTTGACAAATTCTATAGCTGGATATTCAGGCCTAGGGTTTCTGTTCACTTTGTCATCCATATATTCAGTCACAAAGCCTCAAGCTCATAACCCTAGAAAGGCTCATGAAGGGGCTGTGTTGTTTCTCATGGCACTCCAACTTTTGGATTAAGCTTATTTGGCAATTGGGTTATGATTGAGAAAATTTTTGCCTTTTACTTGTATTAGAGATAAATTACCTCTTTTATTATCCTTTTCTTTAACAGGCACGTGACCTTAGCATAGCTTTCTTCTTGGTAGCTTTGACGTACATAATTGTTGGTCTGCTTTTCTTTATAAGTTTTCCCAGAGAAAAGTCATGTATTCAAGAGGTAAGGTTTCCTTAAGGGGTTATTCTTGAATAAAATTATGTTGAGTAAGTGCAGTTTCAAATATTGTCAATCAGTCAGTGCAGTTAGTCCCTAGTGTTGCAATTGGTCATACAATAATAATTATATGCATATCCTATTAAACATTTTGTTCATGGTAGTAGCACTGAGTAAATTTTAAACAAGTTGTGCTGCATTTTGACGAGCCCGTACCGTGAGTCAAAATACAAACAACGAGTAAAAATACACAGCACTGCTACACAACAAAATGTTTAAGTAAGAAATTTATTATCCAACATGTCAAATTGTTATTTCAGTGTGGGAGAATTTCATGAATTTCTCTGGAGTACATAATTATACTGTGAGATATTTGTACTCGTTTTGGGTGTTATTTGTACTCTATTTGCATTGTTGGATAAAATGTCTTTTATTCTTGAGTGAAAGAAGTGATAATAAATACTCTGTAGTTTAATTCAATTAATAACTTTCTAATAACATGAATCAGATGATCCTTTGAAATGCAAATGCAAAGTTAACACAGATAATTTTTTTCAATGTGAACTTTTTTTTCTGGTATATTTGATTGTTCTTGTGATGATGATGTTTTCTTTATCCTGTAGGTTCTTCTTGATAATATTCCAGCCCCAGACATTATGACGTTTATAGCCAGGCTTTTTCTCCTGTTTCAACTTACCACTGTGTTTCCATTGATTGTTTATATCATACGTGTGCAACTTATGTTATACTTCTTTGACAAAATTTATCCAAGGTGAGTTGGTGTGAAGCTATTCTTTTCCTTGCCCTATGGAATTTGCCAACCATGAACCTTTTCGAAACTGCATGATACAAAAACAAGTTTCACTAAAATTTGCAATTTAAAAATCATTTCTAGTTACCAGCATTTGCAGCTGTCTGGTTTTTCATAGGGAATGGTGACTTAGCTTGTTAGAGGATCAAATGAAGAAATTGAATGTGTGATTACAACTTTTAAATGTCTTTTTATTTACAGTGAACTTGTGTTGTTGTTGTTCACAGCTTCCTACATGTGTTTGTCCTGAACCTAGCACTTATTGGGGCATGTGTGTTATTTGCTGTAGTTTATCCACATGTTGGCAACATTATCAGGTAACTAAAGCTTGACACAACTTAACAGACTAAAATACAAGAAATGCTCTGAATCCACAAGTTAGATACAGTTGAAGAATTTCTGAAATTTGAGGTACCTGAAGTGCCCCCTTAACAGAGGGGTAGTCTTTTAATTACTCACATGATATACTCTTGTCCTGTGTCGCAGGTATGTGGGATCATTAAGTGGCTTAGCATACAACTACTCACTGCCATGTATTGTGCACATGTTGATACAGAAACAAAGAGGACAGCTGTCTTGGACCAGTACTGTGTTTCATTCTTGCATAGTTGTTTTTGGAGTCCTGAATTTTATGTCCCAGTTTTTTATCTCGGGATGAGTTTTTTGAGAGTTTAATTCAATGTTCTAATCTTGTAATACAGTAGAATAATACACTTGAAACGTGTATTATATGCAGTTATGTGGCAAAATTGTCTCGAGGGCTTAATTATGACCTTAATGTTAAAGGTTCCTACATTCATATGCATCAAATGCTCAAAATTAGGTGGACTACTTAATTACCTAGTGCAGGTCACTGTTGTATTGTAGTTATGATTTTTGAAATGGTTTTAGGAAAACTTGGGCTGTTACTGGTTAGCTCAGTTATATTTTCCTATGTCACGAAACAATTTACCTTTTTTTTACCGTACTCATGTTTTTTTTTTTTATCCACAATAACTGAGCTTTCCACACTAGCATGTGCGTGCGTGAACGTTGAATCGTTTTTATTGAAACATTTAATAATTTTCCAGATCATTGTTTAGTTAAATAGGGACTAAGGAAAACGATAAAAACAGGAGAAGTATAGTCAAGAAGTATTCAGTGATGACTCGACCTCCCTTATAAGTTTCTTTTGCAGCCTTTCTTCGATTTTCACGCAACGGGGAGCGCTGCGTGACCCCGCAGAGGATAACCTCCCCTATGTCTGCACCATTCTCCTGTTTTGTGCCTTTTCCTTGTTCCTATAACTTAACAATGCACTTGGATAGGAGACATCAACCAAAAACTAAATTGAACATATATTTTTTAAAAATTATAATTTGACCAAAGTCAGTAAATGCCCTTCACGGTGATTGGGAGTGGGGGGGGTAGCGGGGGGGAGTGAAGGGTACAATGACATTTGGGCTGAGAATTTCGCTCTAGCTGTATGATTTATTTATATATAAGGTTAATTTGTCGGGGAATTAATTTATTCGTATTTTGAGAAAAGTGTGTTCTTTTAAGTGGCGTCTTTGCTGCGTTTGAAGAACCTAATTAAGAGAATTGCAATATTTCAAATATTTACATGCGAGGGGCAATTTTGCTAAAATAAAACAGCAGCTAAGTCACTAATCAGTAAATAGTTTCTTTCTCCTGTGCATCTCAGCTAAATCCCCCGCGCAACTTGTCACATGACAGATTTTGATACGAGTAGCAAAAAAAAATAAGCCATTCTTTGCAGAAATAGAGAGATTCGTGGAAGGGTGGGATTAAGGATGAGGGGGTCAGCTGCCTTCTATAACAAGGACCTACTAAAGGGCTCCTTGATAACCTCGGACCTTTATGTAAGGATGAGGGGGTCAACTGCCTTCTATAACAAGGACCTACTAAAGGGCTCCTTGATAACCTCGGACCTTTATGTAAGGTGGCGCGGTCAGGGCACGGTAAAAGTGAAAGCTTATCAAGTTTCTAGACTAAGAGAGCAAAGCATCTCAGTTCATGTTTCTCGAAGCGAGAAGCACAACATTATCAGATCTGTGTGGAATTTTTAAATCTTTTTCTGGAATTTTGGTCGAAACGTCTGTTACTTTCTGTTTCACTTTCATTTTCAGATCTGTCTTAAGTAAATCCACAGAGCTTTATGCATCATCTCGTCGTGACGAATCTTATATCAACTCTTATGTGTTTCCCTCTCAATGAAACCTCATCTTAAGGTTGTCAAACAATGATGCAACGATGGATTTTAATCCCAAATCAGCCCGAGCTCTAGCTCTTTATGAAAAGCATTTCACAATAACTCCCAAATAAAGTAAATCGTTGAGAGACATATTCTCCAGAACGAAACTGAGAAGGTACATTTTTATTTTAGCTACTCGCCACAACACCTCGGGCAGGAGTCTATGGGGGACTATCAAGATCCTTTTATCTTAGTTATGCGAATCACATAAAACACTTTCATAATGTGAGCCTGGCCTAAAAATATTGACGAATCTCGGCAGAATGAAGTTGTACGCTTGCGTTGAAGAGTGAGATGGTCATCGTTGAGGAATGTTATGGGTGCAACTATGATTTTTATGACGCATGCCTCAGGTTTGTCATGCGCCACGGCACAGGGTGTGGCTTTTATTGCCTAAAGAAATCAAGCGGGCGATGGACTTCTGACACCACTGAGGTCAGTTAGCTTAACTACATTAATATTTAGCTGGGACAACCGTGTGAAAAATGATTGATGTTGTTCAACCTCGGGCCCTTTTTAGCAAGGTACCGCCCCTGTCTACATCTACACCTGCGAAGGCACAGCTCACAGTTTACACTCGTGAACTGTTTACCATAGTGCGTATACTGTACTTTACTCGTCTTCACTTAATCTTTAGATGCTCGTAACAAATTTTTAGCTTTCGTGTTTCGCAACGTAGCATGATTGACCGCGTTTGTCCCGTGGGAAAATATTCATTTTTAAACGAACAAGGCGTTTTGGCTAGATTCCTAAAGAGGGTGAAATTTGAAAACATGATCTTCATAAAACTCCCCACTTCGTTGGCCCATGATGATGAGTAAAATTTAACAGCAACTTTCGAAATCGGTTGTACTCTTTGTTTGGTCGTATCCTGTTACAGTTTCAAGTTTCATAACACCACGTTCCCGCCTTTGGGTCTGTGTCATATATGAATGGTATACTTTGAAATGAGGCATTTCAAAAAGCTCGTGACTTGGTGGTGACTTTCCAAGAGGGGTATAACGCCTGTTACACCTGTGTTGATATTCACTATATCCTTGGAAGAAGACCTGCTCAGTCACCCTTCATACAAAAAGCTGCTTTACCTCTTGAAAGAAAAAGATTCAACCAAAATACTACTCAGCATCGGTTTACTCGACTGAGAATGTTGGATCATGTCACGGCTGCGGAGAAAGGAGCAAACTCCTCAAGTGAAGTGGGTGTGGCGATCACAGACGAACAATCTCCTTTACTCTCAGTTCAACTGGGCGATTCAAGCAATTCTGGAGACAAGTTAAATTTTCCATCTTATTCAAGGTAAAGTCCTTGTTCTGAGGTGTATGCGATGTCCATGACGTTGTCAGCTTTTATGCAAATTTTCGGAGTTGACACTCTTAAGTTGTGCAGTGCCGTAAATCTCAGTTATTAAAACTAGAGGAATTACGTAACAATCGAATCTCGACAGTTCAAATCTAACGGAAGTAGGATATTTGCGGAATTAGGTAATAATGGCAATTCCAGGCGTTCTGAATTTGCTGGGCGCGTAGGCATCTCTGTTTATACATTGGTGTGCATGGAAAAAATACTCACTTGGGGTATTTCTTGAGATGTACCTGCGGAGTGCTTCGACACGTCTGTTAGGAATTCTTTACTAATGGACAAAGGTGAATCGGTCTTCATTTTTATCCCAGCCAGACGCAAATTTTCCAGCTGTTACAGAATTAATTGGAAAAGGCAATGAAATTGTACATGTGTGTAAGATCGTTTTCGGGAGAAATCATTCCTACACCAAAACTACAGAGGCCCCAAAGTTCAATTCTGTCCTCGTTGGGCTCAAGGGAACAGCCTCTACAACGATATCTTTTGACAACTTTGAGAATTATTATGGTCATGGTATAGGTAAATAGCCTTAATTAAAAAAATAATTTGTAGTCTTACTTGCGCAACTACACAACAAGTTAAAAGTAAATATAAATGGCGATTTTGGAAAGGCCGGAGAGTGTAGAGACATAACCCGAGGACTATTTGTGAGAGTTTACATGAGTAGTTAATTGAGTAATGACCCCAACATGGCTCAGCTGAATTAATTTGCGAGAGACTTCAATTTTCCCAATTTATCTGGCTTCAAGTTGGTTTTTTTTTTTTAACTTCGATAATGAAGAAGATCGATGCTGTGTAGCGTTCAGTTGAAGAGCAATTTATCAGAAAACATCAGAAAGTTAAAGGTCACTCATTCACGTTGGCGGCTCAGCCTGCACGAACTGCTCACATGCTAGAATGGCTTTTAAAATCTTTAAGGTAGTGGATACGCTTGTAATTGAGAAGGTACGTTACAATGATTCGAAACTCCTTTTAGTTTTATCAAATCCTTTTGTTTCTCACATGATAAGCACACTCGATTTCTTTCGATTTCACTTTGAGGGGTACTAGAGCCAGTGGACGACAAACTGAATTTTAAATAAGGATTTTCTTAAACACTTGATATATTCACACAGACAACTGAACATGAGCAAGTTAGAGTAAAGCAGCGTCTTCATTTGATTGTTTTGATTTGATTTTATTGCTTTTTAGTGAAAGAAACCAAAATGGCAACACAACAAGTACTCAAAAAAGGAAACCCTTCAATGTCAATCTTCTTAAGGAAACAATTATGTCGTCCTTGGAGTATTTGGACTTGGCAGCCAAGTTCAATCGCTATAGATACATCTCTCGCTTATATAATCACAATGTGGTAGGTAAATTATTATGTATATGGACATTTCACCATGCATGCCAAAGGCTTAATTGGTGTATTATTTTAACTCCTTCAGGAAACATTAATTATTACTTCATCCTTTTTCCCTTTTATAGATAATTCCAAGCCACCTGCTTCCATCTTGGTCTGTTGTCACAAAAGAGAAGGATGAGAAACAAAGCAGCCTTGTGACAATGTAAGAATAATATCACACTGGTAAAACATGTTTAGTTAAACTGGGGTTAATCCTTCAACTCTCATTAGTGACCAAGACAGAATTTCTCCTTACAGTATCAATACAATATCAAGTGGACAAGTGATGAGAATAAAAGAAAATATCAGAAATGATCCTATACTAAATTCTTCGAAATAACATCATAAGAATTGCATAGCAGACAGTTAGGAGAATCATCCATAAGGGTTACCTGACTGAAAGTCATAAACAGGGAACTGAAAAACTGAGTTTTCCATAGTTTTCAACTAGCCACAAACTTTTATTTTAAATGTGTAAAATTTGATATCAATAAACATTGGCCTAAACAGCCACTATGAAGAAAACAATTTTCAACCATACTAAACAAAACAGCTTTAAAACATGTTAAAGCTTTGTTGTGAATGAGGTTTGAGTTAAATTTTCACCTAGTCCATATGATCTGAACTACCTCTAACCACTGTTATAACTGGCTGAATGTGCTGTTAAAAAAAAAAAAAAAAGGATTACACAATTACTGGTGAACCAGTAGTTTCCATTGTGGTCCTTGCAAACAAATGAAACAAAGGGTCTAAATTGAACATAACATCATTAAGAACCCCAACTAGCCGGAGGCAAACCAGTTGGCTATTTACAAGCGTGGCCAAGGATCTGAACTCAGGGCTACCGTGAAACAAATCCAGTGGTCAGGGTGGGGGACTCGAACCCAGGAGCAGCGGATTATGAGTCCGACACTCTA